CACCACATCTGGCTCTGTTCCCAGTGTGGCCTTAAACTCACAGAGATCCAGATGGATCTCTGCCTCCTGAGTGATAGGATTAAAGTTGTATGCTATTAAACATTGCCTTACTTCTATGTTTAACCTTGAAAACATATCTAATATGACTACAAGTTTGATTATTATAGATGACTAACTACCAAACTACATTTCTTAATTATGCATGACATTTTTAAATGAGCTGCATAAGCACAATACCCCAAACAATAGTAGAAATATACAATATAACAAAAGTAACTTTAAATTTGTGTCAGTATACCAAAGTTCATATCTAACGAAGAGTATTGGGGTCCAGGCCCTTAATAGCCTTCTCCCAGAGTTCCAGAAGAGATACTACCAGTGGCAGATTAATTAATCTGAAGGATACTCTAATAAATCTACATACACAAAACTCTTAGTCCATTCACTTTATTCTTCTGAGTCAGTTCTCTCTTGACATAGCTTCTATTCTGCTCTTTTATTTAGCTCCTTGAAGGGCACGTGGATCGTATTGATCCAAAGCTGGATTGCATTTTGGTTATTTTACCTTCTAGGCATTCCCCAACAGGAATATTAATGCAGAGGGAAGATATTATATTGGAATGGATATTTTTACCAAATAAACCAAATAAAAAATTAAAAACTTATGTGGAAAAAATCTCTGACTTGATTTGGAAAGGAAAATTGAGACTTCGTCAATTAGCAGGAATAGACCCAGCAGAAATTGTCGTACCTTTAACTAAGGAGGACATTGAAAAATTATGGACAGAAAGTGAACCTTGGCAAAGAGCTTGCAGTAATTTTTTGGGAGAAATTAACAGCAAATATCCCAAAAGCGATAGAATTGATCTTATAAAGAGAGCTGATTGGATCTTGCCTCAAATTATACGGGAAAAACCCATATCTGGAATTCGTACATTTTATACAGATGCCAACAAACAAGGAAAGGCAGGTTACAAATCAGAAAATTTAAGTAAAGTGGTTCAAAGTCCTTATAATTCAGTTCAAAAATCAGAATTGTATGCTATTCTGTTGGTATTAATGGATTTTTCAGAACCTCTCAACATAGTAACTGACTCTCAGTATGCTGAAAGAGTAGTATTACATATTGAGACTGCAGAATTTATCCCTGATGCTTCAGAATTAACTTCACTATTTATTCAATTACAAGATACAATCAGGAAAAGGAGTCATCCTTTATATATAACTCACATTCGATCCCATACTGGTCTGCCAGGCCCTCTAGCACAAGGCAATGATGAGATTGATAAATTATTGATAGGAAATGTGCTGAAGGCCTCAGAATTTCATAAAAAAACATCATGTCAATAGTAAAGGTTTAAAAAAGGATTTTTCCATAACCTGGCAACAAGCCAAAGAAATAGTAAAGAAATGTCCTACTTGTTCCTTCTACAATCAAACGCCATTACCAGCAGGATGTAACCCAAAAGGTACTCAAAGGAATGAAATCTGGCAGATGGACGTGTTTCACTTTGCAGAATTTGGAAAACTGAAATATGTACACCATACTATTGATACTTATTCAGGATTTCAATGGGCAACTGCTTTGAGTTCTGAAAAAACTGATTCTGTAATCACTCATTTGCTAGAAGTTATGGCCATCATGGGTATACCTGCACAAATTAAAACCGACAATGCTCCATCATATGTCTCTGTTAAAATGAAACAGTTTTTTGCTTATTACAATATAAAGCATATTACAGGCATACCACATAATCCTACAGGTCAAGCAGTTACAGAAAGATCAAACAGAACTCTAAAGGATATGCTAAATAAACAGAAAGGGGTAACAAAACCCCCCAGAAATAGACTGCATAATGCTCTATTAACTTTGAATTTTCTTAATGCCAATGAGAAAGGAACAACAGCTGCAGAGAGACATTGGATAATAGAAAAAACTACAGAATTAAATCAGCCTATATACTTTAAGGATGTGCTGAGCTCAGAATGGAAACCAGGGTATGTGTTACATTGGGGACGAGGTTTTGCTTTTGTTTCTACAGGAGAAGATAAGCTGTGGGTACCATCAAAATTGATAAAGGTTCGATTTGAACAAGAGAGACCTCTTAATTAGAGGAGGTGATAGTTCTTCAACCAGCATGAACATCCAATTTAAACTAACTTACCAGTAACACATGCCTTTTCATTTAATCAGATAATAACTTGCCAAAAAGGAACATCCCCAAAATTAGTCTTGGGGAAAGGTTTTTGTTTTTGTCTTTTAGGAGAATGAAGGTTAAGGAATCTGAAGAACACTGGACAAATGAGACAACTGAAGAAAAGGGACAAATCATCTATCCCAGGAAGCAGAGTGAAACGGCGTATGGGTATATATTATCTAAAAAATTTATGTCTTCCTAAATGTTTGTTTCTGCTCTTCTCTAAAGAAATTTAACACTATTGGTCTTCTAATAGTCCCAGTTCAATTAAAATTTAAAGCTGACTTTGGAGTTGGAGAATGGCTCTCTCCTTCTTTAAACTCAAGCATGTTGTTAAAAGGAAAATGCAAACTCCCTGTATCATGCCAGAAGAAAAGAGCCATCTTCTGCTATGGGACAGGAGAAAAGCCAAATTAATTAAGGGACTATTCTATTACTAATCTCAACTCTTTGATTCTACTCTGATTCTTTAAACTTTTCTTAAAGTATAAATTTTATATCAAAATTTACAAGATTAATATATATATATATATATATACATTTTAAACTTTGTTAAGATATGAATGGTCATATAGAGTACTAACTAATTCTAGAAAAAAGGTTTCAATTAGCTGCATATATATGTCTTTGTGTTCGAGTCTCTTATCAGTTTTCTGCAGGAAATCATGGCCAGGCCTAACATCAACTGAAGTCTCCAGGAAGAAGATGGGGCCCCACAACATCAACAATTCCACGTGGACAATAATACTATCACTAAGCTGACAAACATCATCTACAGATCAGCTTTGAACTACAAGGTGCTCAGAGCAATTTTGAGATGACTAGCTGAGATGATCCAGTCTCAAAGACTACTTGAATAAGGACTTGAGATAAACCCTGAACTTTGGCATTATACACAGAATGGATAATGAAGGATATAGTTACCTTTCCTAGAATTTGACAATTAACCTAAAATTTTTCTTTCAGGATAAAGATACTTTCGACCATACCCAGCAGGAAGCGATTTTAAGAATACGATGCCCACATTCCCAAAGAGGTGGTGTGGGGCGGGTGGATTTTTGGTCTTTTTAATGGGTTTTGGGTCTGGGATAATTTTCATTGTTTAGGGGGGTTGGTTACAAGTTGTTGTCAAGGGTTAGGAAAAAGGCTAAGCAAAGGAGATTAGATTTAAGGTTCTTGTTTTAAAAAATAAGAAAGAAAGAAAGAAAAGAAAAGAAAAGAAGAAAAAGACAATTACTAGTTTTAAATACTTTACATTGGATTGGATTGTTTTATGTTGTATACAAATTATATATATTGAAATTGATATTGTTAGAAAATGCTATATGTATATTTCTAATTGTACTTATACCATTCATTTAACAATGCAATTTTCTGATCCTTGAATGTTATTATTACCGACTATTAGAATATAAAGAAATGAAAGTTAGTAGTTAGACATTACAATAGAACTTGTAGTCATATTAGATATGTTTTAAAAATTGAGCAGATATGTTTTAGACAGGTCAACTTCAAACCCTTCAGAGATCTACAGAATATGGCATTTAAAATGTTTTAATAACTTAGAAAATTTTTCTTTTTTGAGACATGTCGGCTCCTGGCAGTACCAATCTACTTCAGAGAAAATATGGGCATTGAAGAAACTGCATATGGAGTTAACTTTCATTGTGGCAAAAGTTAGCCACTGGACAACAAAGTATCCCCGACTCAACTGCTGACAAAATGGACAGACAGGAAACAAAGGACTACTGATTCTTGCCTAAACAAGCATGGCTATGGCTTTATCAAAAGGCATCTTCTCAGGCCAGGACAATATGGCACCATCCCTGAAGTGGCCTTCACAATTTGGAAAAGGTACAGTGCCCTTTTCTTCAAAGGCAGCTGAACAGGCAGTGGGCCGATGGCTTCTGATGTTCTATGGAACAGCAGCTGAAACAGTTATTCTTGAAGAGTAACTAAGCTCACGCCTCTCAATACTAGACTGGCATTTGATAGAGGGATGTGGAGAAGAACGGGTTGCTGAGATGAAGCCATATATACACAGCCAAGAAGAATGGATAGTTGAATTAAAAAACCATCAACAATTTCCAGAATTTAAAATCCTGAATCATGACATGACACTAGTGGAATTCAGGTGTTTCTGGTACATGGACTGCTCTCACCCAATGTGAGGTCGAACTGTTGACCTTGTGTACATCCTACTTCACAAATGAGTCTGTCAGATATGCTAAGCCTATAGGCTGAAGATGATGCCCCAGCACTGCGGAGAAACCTCAGGTGACTGTCCAGGCAGCTGGCTGTTTCTGTCAACTCACAATTTTTTTGGAAGTTGCTTGCATGCACTTCCTGTTTTTATTTTTGTTAGCTAATATTATTTCCTTCTTGGGTTTCTGAGGGAGTTGAAGATTAGTTAGTTATAGTTGAAGGTTAGTTAGTTATAGTTGAAGATTAATTAGGATAGAAAATGAATTAGATACATTTTGGACTTACCAAAATAGGATAGATAATGAAATTATTTTCTCTGAATTTTTCAAATACAAATGGACTAAACATTGTTTAGATATTCATTACTTGTATATATTGTATATAGTTATTGTACTTTTGTATATAGTTTTTCTTTTGTTAGTTTAACCATTTTCTTTTTATTAAAATAGAAAAAGGGAAATGTGGTGGTATTTTACTTGTACTGAAATGTGATTTTAATTGTATGTTAATAAATTAAGTTGCCTGGGGATCAGAGCTATTAGAGCCATAGCAAGTGTGTGGCAGCGGTGGCACACGCCTTTAATCTCAATACCATAGAGGACCTGGAGGGCTGCACATACAAGCAGTGACGAGGCAGTCACGTGTTTGGGTTTACAACCAATGAGAATGCAGAACAGCTAGACTATATAAAGACATACATACAGGAAGTAGGTCCCTTTCCGAGAGCTCTCTTGGCTGAAGAGGATTGCTGAATCAGGAAGGGTGAGGCTCTTAACTCTGACCTCTTGGCTTTCTTCTCTGAATCGGCTCTGTGTTTCTTATTTAATAAGACGGTTGGTTACATCTACACCTTTCTCACTTGATTTCTCTCTACATTTTCCTGCTGTTCCCTCTATGTCCTATCTTAATTCTTTCATCTAGTTCTGACTCATCTATTTCTCATCTATCTAGTTCTTTCCCATCTTAGCTCCTCTCCCAGTAATTTCTGAAAAGTTTGTTCTTAAAAAGTCTGGGAAGTTTCTCAGATAAGGTATTTTCGTCTGGAGATGGCTCTGTCCAGATGTTGCTAATGATGATAATTACAGGGAGACTTGACACTAAGGTTCTGACTGTGTTACTGCTGTCAGCACAGAAGGTTATCTAAATATTCCATTAGTAGAGGGGAAGTTGTGCCCAGTGAATGATCAAAACGCACTGTTATTTGGAAAGAGAATTGAACGGAGAAGCTGCAGCAGCACATAAGAAATTCATTGCAGGCAATCAGCTGATATCCAAGACCTAATATCACCAGGACTCCGTGAGCCTCGGCTTGACCTCTGGGAGGCCCTTGGCTTCTTCCAGGTATTAGCTTGTCATCATCAGCTGAAATCCTACTTCACATTTTTATGACTTGAGATGAAGAGTTGTCCTTTTATCCTATATTCCTACATCCTCACTAAATGATGACAAACATCCATAAGCCACCAAATGACCAAAAAACCACCTACCCCACCTCTTTGGAATGTGGCCGTTGTGTTCTCTAGACTGCTTTGTATTGTCTCTGGCTGACGGCATTTTTTTAGGGAACCTGAGAAAATTAAGATCATGATCAAGTAAGTCCTGGGAAAACCAGTTGTAACATTTGTTGTCCAGTCTCTGTGCAATGGGAAAGCACAGGTTTATCTGTAGTCCTTGCTAAAATAGTCTGTGAGCCTGGACCATCTCAGTCAGCAGTCTTGAAGCTGTTCTGTATGCAGAACTCTGAGTAAATTGCAATAGAGGCACTCTGAGAGGCTGGATAATTTGGGCCACCCATTTTCAATGGTGTCTGGTCCCCTTGCTCTGAAAACACATAAACTTTCAAAGACAACGTGCATATCTTCATTAACACAATATGGAATGTGTATTATACACAAGCCAGCCAAAGATAATTTTTTGTTTTATGTTTGAGCAGGTAAAATATACATCACCTGTCTTGTGGTTTTTCTAGGTTTATTTCTTTATATCTGTAGCCAGGATTTTCAGGGGGTCCTCACTGATCAAACCTGATCTCTATCAGTCTTGAATGAACCCATAGCCCTTTGTTTCCTGTGGAAACAAAAGCATGACCTCTTCTCCAAAGCAATATAGTTTTTGACTTCCGTTCTAAAGTTAAAGCATGTCGAAAGTATATAGGCTGGTGTAATTCAGCAATCTCTTTCATAACCCCATGTCTCTCAGCAACTGTCTTTTGCTCATCAGCATTAAAAAAAATTCAAAATCAATGCAATAACATACAGGATGTGTATGTCCCATCTCTACATGACTTTTTAAAAAAAATTATTTATAAACTATTTACCATTTTCTATGATTGTCTATATCCATTTTTTTCTAAAGCCTGTGCATATTTTAAAAAAATGCTGTAACCTGTCCAGAAATTTTTTTCAGTCTGAACCTGCTTTACTGTGCATCTCTAGCCTTTTCTGTCTGAATGAGCAAAATCTTAAACTGCTAAGGATTTGTAGATCTATTTAAATTGTTTATCTGATCTTGGTTTATCTTTGGTAAGTGGTATCAAGAAAGCACCCCCCACACTTCTTTTTAGATTTCCAATTTTGTGGAGTATAGGTTTTTGAAGTATGACCTAATGAGTCTATGGAATTATTTCCTCAGTGTCTGTTGTTAAGTTCCCCTTTTCGTTTCTGACTTTGTTAATTTGGACATTCTATCTCTGCCTTTTGGTTAGTTTGGATAAGGATTTGTCTATCTTGTTGATTTCCTCAAAGAATCAGCTCTTTGTTTCATTGATTCTTTGTATTGGTCTCTTTTGTTATATTTTATTGATTTCAGCCCTCAGTTTGTTCATTTTCTATCATCTGTTCCTCTTGGATGTGTTTGCTTCTTTTTGTTCCAGAGCTTTCAGGAGTGCTGTTACATTGCTAGTGTAAGATTTCTCAATTTCTTTATGAAGGCACTTAGTGCTATGAACTTTCCTCTTAGTTCAGCCTTCATCGTGTCCCATAAATTTGGGTATGTTGTGCATTCCTTGTCATTGAATCCTAGGAAGTCTGTAATTTACTTCTTTATTTCTGCCTTGATCCAACAGTCATTCATTACAGAATAGTTCAGTTTCCATGGGTGTGTAGACTTTCTGTTGTTTCTGTTGTTGTTAAAATCCAGTTTTAATCCGTGGTGGTCTGATAGGATGCAGGGGGGTATTTCAGTTTTTTTTTTTTAAATCTGTTGTCACTTGTTTTGTGATGAGTATGTGGTCAGTTTTGGAGAATGTTCCATGAGGTGCTGAGAAGAAGGTATACTCTTTTGTGTTTGGGTGAAATTTTTGTATTAGGTCCATTTGGTTCACAAAACATGCTAACTCCAGTATTTCTCTGTTTGGTTTATGTCTGGGTGACCTGTCCATTGGTGAGAATAGGGTATTGAAGTCTTCCAATATTGATGTGTGAGGGTTGATTGTGATTTAAGCTTTAGTAATGTTTCTTTTTACAAATGTGGGTGCCTTTGCATTTGGGGCATAGATGTTGAGAATTGAAATGTCATCTTTGATGAGTGTGAAGTGTCTTTCCCCATCTCTTTTGATTAATTTTGGTTTGAAGTCTATTTTGTTAGCTGTTAGAATAGCTACACCAGATTGCTTCTTGGGGCCATTTGCTTAGAAAATCTTTTTCTAACTTTATACTCTGAAGTAATGTCTATGTTTGATGCTGAGGTATGTTTCTTTCTCTTTTTTCCTTTCTTTCTTCCTTCCTTCCTTCCTTTCTTTCTTTTTTTCCTCTTTCTTTTTTCTTTTTCTTTCTTTCTTTTTTTTTTTTTTTGATACAGGGTTTCTCTGTGTATCTCTGTCTGTTTGGAACTCATTCTGTATACTAAGTTGTCCTCCACCTCAGAGAGATCTGCCTGCCTCCATCTCCCTGAGTGCTGAGATTAAAGGCATGTGCCACCACCACCCAGTGAGGTGTGGTTCTTGTATGCAGCAGTAGGATGGATCTTGTTTTCCCATCCATTCTGTTCATCTGTGTCTTTTTAATGGGGAGTTGAGTCCATTGATATTGAGAGATATCAATGACCAATGACTGTTAACTCCTGCTGTTTTGTTGTAGTTGGTGATGGTAGTGTGTGTGTGTGTGTGTGTGTGTGTGTGTGTGTGTGTGTGTGTGTGTGTTTTCTTTGTGTTTTGCTAGTGTGAGATTATCTATTGCCTGCATTTTCCTGGGTGTAGTTAATTTCATTGGGTTGGAGCCCTTCCTTCTATATGGCTGGATTTATGGATAGACATTGTTAAAATTCAACTTTATCATGGAATATCTTATTTTCTCCATGTATTGTGATTGAAAGTTTTGCTGGGTATAATAGTCTGGAATAGCATCTGTAGTCTCTTAGAGTCTGCAGCACATCTCTCCAGTCCTTCTGGCTTTTATCTCCATTGAGAAGTCAGTTGTAATTCTAATAGGTCTGCCTTTGTATGTTACTTGGTCTTTTTCTCTTGCAACTTTTGATATTCTTTCTTTGTTCTGTGTTTAGTGTTTTGATTATTACGTAGTGAGGGGACCTTGTTTTCTGGTCCAGTCTATTTTGTATTCTGTGTGTTTCTTGTACCATTATAGGCATGACCTTCTTTATGCTAGCAAATTTTTCTTCTATGATTTTGTTAAAAATATTTTCTAGGCCTTTGAGCTGGGAATCTTCTCCTTCTTCTATTCCTATTATTCTTAGGTTTGGTCTTTTCATAGCATCCCAGGTTTCCTGGATGTTTTATGTCAGGAATTTTTTAGATTTAACATTTCCTCTAACTGGTGTATCTATTTTTTCTATCTTGTCTTCAATGTTTGAGATTCTCTATTCCATCTCTTGCATTGTATTGGTGATATTTGGGTCTGTAGTTCTTGTTTCACTTAGCTAGAGTTTCCATTTCCAGAATTCTCTCAATTTGTGTTTTCTTTATTGCTTTTCTATTTCCATTTTCAGGTCTTGAACAGTTTTGCTCATTTTCTTTCTTTCTTTTTCTTTGGTTTTTTGAGACAGGGTTTCTCTGTGTAGCTTTGCGCCTTTCCTGGAGCTCTCTCTGTAGACCAGGCTGGCCTCGAACTCACAAAGAACCACCTGCCTCTGCCTCCTGAGTGCTGGGATTAAAGGCGTGCGCCATTACCACCCAGCCACTCATTTTCTTAAACTGATTTTTCTTGACATTCTTTAAGGGATTTATTGATTCACTTCAATCTTTTATTGTCTTTTCCTCAGTTTCTAAGGGATTTATTCATTTCCTCTTTAAGGACCTTTATCAGTTTCATAAAGTTGGTTTTAAGGTCATTTTCTTGTGCTTTAGCTGCATTGGAATATTCAAGGGTTGCTGTATTCGGCTAGCTGGGCTGTGGTGGTGACAGACTACCCTGGCTGTTATTGATTGTATTCTTACATTGGCATCTCGGCATCTGGATTTGGGGTTATTACAGGTCTAGGTGCTGATTTCTGGATTTGTATTTGTTGGACATGTGTTTTCTTCCTTGGTTTCTGTTTCCTCTCTGGTCTTCTGCCAGCAGTGGCCTGGGGTTGAGTAGATGGTCTCCACCAGAGTTGGAGACTGGACTTCTGATGGCCTGGATAGCCTCTGCTCCAGCAGGGGGTTCCTGCCCAGATTAATGGGTGGAGTTCTGTCTGGTTGACTTACCTGGTTTTCAGGGAGCCGGCCAGGCTCTGGTTGGATAGGAGGCTTCTGCCAGAGTAGTATGCCAGGGTACAGTGACAGGGAGAGGAGAGGTGGTTGGGGTTATGCTAGTTGAGCATGGGCGGGGTTGGGGGGCACTCTTTCCTGGGGTTCAGGATACTGGCCTGACCTATGAGCTATAACTAATACTTTAATAGTTCCATTATGTCAAAATGTGGTCTTGAATTGGAAAAGGGGAAAAGAATGTTGTTCTATCAGGGCCCTGGAGAGCTGGTTCAGTGGTTAAGAGCACACACTAACACCGGAGCAGTTCCCAGTGCCCCGTCAGGTGCTCATAACCTCCTGTAACTCCAGCCTTCAGGGATGTGACACCCCTGTCTTGTCTCCATGGACACCTGTGTGTAGATACACATGAATAAAAAGAAGTCTGTGTTGAGACAGGGACTCTACTTTGTCCTGGCTATCCTGACACTCACTCCTAGACCTTACATTTGGAGATCTGCCTGCTGGGTCTTCTGAGTGCTGATATTAACAACATTAAAGAGATGCACCACCAGGTCCAGCTAACAGAAAATAAAATAATCTTACGTTTTCTTTAGTTACATCGGTTTAATGTTTTATTACATCAGAAAAAAAGCATAAGGAAGCTCTAGATTCCTTTTCTTTCTTTTGGCTTAAGACAGGGTGTTTTACTGTGACTTAACTCCAGCTGTGCTGGAACTTGATATGTAGACCATTCTGGCCTTGAACCCATAGATTCACCTGCCTCTGCCTCCTGAGTGCAGAGGTTGTTGTTGGGCAGGGGGTTGATTTTTGATTGGATTTGTTTATTGTGGTGATATTTTATTTGTGCTGATATGTGATGATATTTTATTTGTATGTTAGTAAATAAAGTTTGCCTGGAGATCAGAGATCATAGCCAGCCATAAACAAAAGTCAGGCGGTGGTAGCACATGCCCTTAATCCAATCACTTGGCAGACAGTCTCTGTACATTCAAGGACACAGCCAAGTATGGTGACACATGCCTTTAATCCCAGTACCAACCATAGAGACCTGGAGGTCTGTATAGACAGGCAGTGAGGAGGAAGTGAGGTGGCTGGACTAAGAGCCAATGAAAAGGCAGAACAGCAAGGCAATAAAGGCACAGGTTAGACAGGAAGAAACTGGTTCTCTTGGGAAGCTATGGCGGTGTGGTGACAAGGTTAGTTGGTGGCTATTGCTCTGATCTCTACGGCTTTCACCCCTGTATTTGGCTTTGTGTTTCTTATTTAATAAGACTGTTTAGAAATTCGTCTACAGTTTATTTTTGGAGACAAAGTCTTCCTATGCATCCCTCACTGGCTTGAAACTCACCATGTAGACAAAGCTAGGCTGGAACTCAAGGAATCTACCTGCCACTGGAGTGCTGGGATTAAAGGTATGGGCCAAGTCCGGCCTAAGCTTACCTTCTTAAATATTAAAGTGGCATTTAAATTATGTAGCCCATGCTTGAAAAGTGTCCCACAGTTTGCTGGGTTTCCCTGGAATTAGAACTGAAGAAGAAGAGACTGAACTCAAAACCTTGGGAAGTTTGAATTCTGCCCCATAACTGTGGTGATATATTGTGTTCCCTAATAAAGGTACTTGCCTGAGGATCAGAGAAGCAGAGCAAGCCATAGCCAACCTCACCTCCTCGCCAACCCCTCAGCCCATTCTGAAAGCCTCTGAGTCCTCACCCGAAAGACCTCATCCAGAAAGAGCCTCTAGTCCCTGTTTCCTCATGTCTTATACATCTTTCTTTGCCCTGCCATATTACATCCTGGCATTAAATGCATATGTGCTTTCCAAGCAAAGGCATGAGACCTCAAGCACTGGGATTAAAGGTGTGAGATCTCAAGTATTGGGATTAAAGTCGTGTGCCACCACTGCCTGGCTTTGTTTCTTTTCTAGACTGAATCAATCTCATGTAGTCCAGGGTGGCTTTGAACTCACAGAGATACAGATGGATCTCTGCCTCCAGAGTGCTAGGATTAAAGGTGTGTGCTACCACTGCCTGGCATCTGTGTTTAATCTAGTGGCTTGTTCTGTTCTCTGATCCTCGGGTAAGCTTTATTAGGGTACACAATATATCACCACACATAACACCACCGATGGAAATAAAGTTCTGTGTAGGTGTGTGTTTTATTTTGTTTTTCAAATACAATTTCTGTGTATATTGTATATCCCTGGTTGTCCTGGAATTCGCTCTATAGACCAGGCTAGACTTGAACTCAGAGATCCACCTGCCTCTCTGTGCTGGGATTACAAGAAAATAAAAGTTTTATACTGGGTTAGTATTTATTTGAAACCTGAGATGGAAAGTATAAACTTTTTTATATGCACATTACCCTTTTGATCCCAGCCTAAACCAAGTGAGGGACTAAGGCATAATAGAAATAATTGGCTATTGTACAATAGACTGGTGCCTGAGAATTCCAGTAGTAACAAGGCAAAAACAACAAATACAGCACCACGGCCATGCACTACACAGAGCAACGTATACAGGACACAGTGAGTGACTCTTTTTGAAAGATGTGGTGGCCCTGATAAGGGCCTTCATAGAAGAGAAGAAGAAGTAGAAAAAAAAAAAAAAAAAAGCTGAGTACCTAAGCCCCCGAAGCCATTAAGCGTGCGGCATTGGAGTTTGTGGAAGTGTAAGCCAAATAAGTCCTTTCTTCCCCAAGTTGCTTTGGTCATGGTGCTCATCATGTTGTGCCCAGAGTCCAGACTCCCAAAGTCCATCAGGAAACCAGATCCGATGCAAAAGCAGAGTGTTTTAATTTCGAGCTTGAACCTGGGTCCTCGTCCCTCCGATGCAGCAACAGAGCAGAAGAGACCCAGAGTAACAGTGAGACGGGATAGTTATAGGGGGCAAAGCAAGGGAGGGTCTAAGGGTCTACAGACGGCATAGGAACAGACTCAGGATTGGTGCACCTCCAAGCTGGAGGTGCCCTCCCTGGCTAGTTGGTTACAGCTGCAGGAAAGTTGATACATCTTGCAGCAGTTGCTGGGGTTATGGTATTCAGCCTGCTAAGTTTAACTTTTAATTGGTTCTTTACCATGTGGGGACACCTAGTGGTGCTTTTTTTTTTAATAACTAGGGTCAAGCTCAAGGTCAGGGCCTCAAGGGCACATCCTGCTGAGTCAGGGGGTCTTTTCTGCAGCCTGTCATGGCAGTGGGATATCCAAGACAAGCATCTGGGTAAGGGCCAGGGCTTCTCAATCACAGCAACAGTAACCCTGTCTGAACCAACAATAAACTACTGAGAAAATATTAGTGTTTGTATATTTGATGTGTTAGCCTTACTTGAGTTCACTAAACATTTATGGGTCTGAGGTTGTGTCTCAGTTGGTATAGTTGGTAAAGTGTTTGCCTAGAATGCAGGAAGGCCTGGGTTTAGTCCCAACGACTGCATGATTGTGATTACACATATCTACAATCCCAGCATTCTGGAGGTGAAGGAAGGAGGCAGCTGGATCCTAGTTCAAACCCATTCTCAAAATCAAAATGAGTTGAAGGAGAGCCAATGATATATAAGAGATCCTGTCTTTTTAAAGAATAGGAAAAAAAAAAAAACCTCAAAACAATGTTTGAAGAACACTTCAACTAAAGATATAAAATTAAGCCGAGTGGTTGAGGTCCACACATTTGAGGCCAGTCTGGTTTACAGAGCAAGTACCAGGACAGCCAGGGCTGTTACATAGAGAAACCAATCTTGAAAAACAAAACAAAACAAGAAAAGAAAGAAAAAAAAAAAGATTTATAAAGTTAGAAGTCATTAAAGACAGATGCTGTTTAGGGCCCTAGCCCCCAGTGGATGATATCTCCATGGGATTGAATTCAAACAGAGCCTGGAGTCTAAGGGTTCCACAGGCACTGAGTGTTAGAACTCAGGAAACACTAACAGGGCTAAGATGTCTCTAAATCTGAAAAGGCCCCATGGACCAGCAATTGGTGTAAAATGCTACCAAGTCCTTTCTGGGATGAGCCACCCAGAGCTTCTGATCTAACTGCTGGATGGAAATAATCAGCCAGCTCTGGAATCTGACCTGATAAGATGTGCCTGCAATCCCATCCACTGTAGAGACAGCAGCAGTAAGATCACAAGTTCAAGGCCAGCATGGGCAGACAAACCCGGTCTCAAGAAGATGATGCGAGACAGTTGTCTACATGAACCCAGATTTAGTCTCCAGAGCCCCTACATACAAAAAACAAAATTAGATTCTTAAGCAAGCAAAATCTGGCTATAACTCAGTTTTCTGTCCAAATAAATACATCTGCATCCCATGACTACAGACTTTGTCCTTTAGCTGTATCTCACCCATATTACAGTAATTCCTCCTTTTTCACTAAGCACCGAGGACATTCATCACCAGGAAGGAATCCTTTTTATGCTAAGCATAAAAATGAATAATAGTGTTTACTCACCAATTTTACATAGTAATTTAAGGTTAATAGCTCCCATGAAGTCAATCTATTACCAGGATAAATGGATTTCTTTAAAATGTGGCACTTAGTATACACTTTACAAGATTACACTTTCATCTAAGAAGGAAATCAGGCTTTACCACAACCCCAATCAGAAAAAAATACCAATGTAAACCAAGCACCACAGGAAGGACAAATAAGTTATGATCTTAGATGTGTTACCTAAAACAACACTTGCGTGGAAGAACAGGAATATGGCTGCATGATGAACATGGGAGCCAGAGAAGGAGGAAATGCCAAAGTCACAACATCTTGACGTCTATTGTGCCCTAAGGGGACGTCACCAGCTTGAGCACTGCAGAGACCTCCCTCTCCATCCCACACACATGGACCACTCCCAACCATGCATCCATGCTGCTACAGACCTAACGGTCGTGACCGGGCTCGTTTTCTCTGTCAACTAAAGACTTCCAAGGCAGGAAAAATTTGCCAGTGAACAGCGGAAAAGCTCAACAATTTCAGACAGCAGCAGACAGAACCAACAGTAGAGAAAAGCATTTATTAGAGCGAGGGAAAAAGAAGCGCTTGCCACTGGCACACGCAGGAGCAGATCTTGTGCGCACACCGGGAAGGCGATGAAGCCAGTCTCTCTCCGGGAGTTGCGTTTATTCCCCTTCCACCCCACCGGCCGCCCCCACTTTAGAGCCGGCATTTAGACCATCAAGATCATCAGACGGCTGACCGGCCCAACTGCTGGGTAAGGCCTGACGGGGCGTCCTGATCGCTCCCCCAGTCGGTCCGGAGGGGGCCTGCTGGAGTAATGGAAAAGGGCAGCAGGCTCGTCTGAGGCCTGGAGCTTTTTCGTTAAGGAAGTCATGTGGGTTGGAAGTTCTCCTTAACGTAGCCATGGGCCAGGGGGAACTCCTAAGTGACGTGCATTTGTACCTGAAGCGGGCAGAGCACCCACCTCTCACAGGCCTAAATGTCACGGGCACGTCTGCCATTTAACCTCCACCATAGAGGGGAGATGCAAACCACGGAATAGTGAGGACACTGGCACAGCCCCAGGACGGGAGGCCCCGCGAACGAGGGATCCGGTCCGCAGCCGACTGAGCTGCGTGCCGCACAAATCCCGGACATCGGGACCTTACAGTAAACAAAACAGTGCCGCAGCTCTCCCGAGGGTCAGGTGGGCGGCCCTGAAAAGGGCCTTTAGAGAGGAAAAGAAAAAGGAGCCGAGCAGCTCAGCCGCCGAAGCCGTAGAGCGTGCGGCCCTGGCGCTTGAGCGCGTAGACCACGTCCATGGCGGTGACGGTCTTGCGCTTGGCGTGCTCCGTGTAGGTGACGGCGTCGCGGATCACGTTCTCCAGGAACACCTTCAGCACCCCGCGGGTCTCCTCGTAGATGAGGCCGGAGATGCGCTTGACGCCGCCACGCCGGGCCAGGCGGCGGATGGCGGGCTTGGTGATGCCCTGGATGTTGTCGCGCAGGACCTTGCGGTGGCGCTTGGCGCCGCCCTTGCCCAGGCCCTTCCCGCCTTTGCCGCGGCCAGACATGACTACAAAGGGAGAGGAATCCCAGTGATGCCATCTCCGACACAGCAGTTCGCTCTTATAGGGAACGTGCGGACCGGAGTGAGAACAGGAAGCGCAGTGGCGGGAACTGCTTGTGGCTAGGGGGAGGGGCCCTCAGCGCAATTTGAAAGCTGAGGACTGTAAATGGAAATTCCGTCTAATGTCCTCATCTCCCCACACTTAACGTTTTCCTTTAGTACTGTTTGACGTGTCGAACAACGGAAGAGTCAGGTGAGCACTCGTAGCGTGCGAGAGTTTTTAAAGAGCTTTTTACCATTTTTGTTTAATGTGATCCCTACCGTGTCCTTATGAAACAAAATGTATTATAGAAAATACAAAGGGAAACATTGTAGCACTTACATTCATATTCTTTCCACTATTTGGGCATAACCATGCCTTTTAACTTTAAAGATATAAATTTAAGGACCGAATAATTTAATGCCAGAAATGTATGTATGCGTGTATGTATGTAGACTACACAGCAGGGCGGTGGTGGCGCACGCCTGTGATCCCGGACCTCCGAGCAGAACTGGCCAGTTTGGTCTCAGCCCCGGCTACAGAGAGAAACCGGAGCTGCAGGCGCGGTGGCCGGCACTCCAGAGGCAGAGGCAGGAGAATGTCTTTAGTTCCAGGACAGCCAGGGCTACACACTGAAACCTGCTCGAAAAACAAAAAAACTCCAGTTTGTGAATTTGAAAATGAAAGTGGCCATCTGAGTGACTACCACGAGATTGTCAACACTTAATAACCCCAGTTATAGATGTCAATCTTCTTGTGTAATGGCTAATGCTAAAATCCAGATGGGACGCTTTCAGGGAAACTACATAGCCTTAGCCTTATTTTTAAACGTTGGTCCATATACGGCACATCACTCTCTCTACTCCGGACATAAATCGCAAAGGTTGGGTTAGGGGTACTCTAGTTCTAAGGATAATGTGTCTCTCGCACAAACTGCACAAAATGCCACTGTTTCGTGCAAAAGTGTCCAGCGCTTTTAAAAGAGACTGTGGATGGCTCTGAAAAGAGCCTTTGGTCTGACTTAAGTGGTTTTGGTCAAATGCCTCACTTTCCCTTGGCCTTGTGGTGGCTCTCGGTCTTCTTGGGCAGCAGCACCGCCTGGATGTTGGGCAGGACGCCGCCCTGCGCGATGGTCACGCGGCCCAGCAGCTTGTTGAGCTCCTCGTCGTTGCGGATGGCCAGCTGCAGGTGGCGCGGGATAATGCGCGTCTTCTTGTTGTCGCGGGCCGCGTTGCCAGCCAGCTCCAGGATCTCGGCCGTCAGGTACTCCAGCACGGCCGCCAGGTAGACCGGGGCGCCGGCGCCCACCCGCTCCGAGTAGTTGCCCTTGCGGAGGAGCCGGTGCACGCGGCCCACGGGGAACTGCAGGCCGGCGCGGGACGAGCGGGTCTTGGCCTTGGCGCGAGCCTTGCCGCCCTGCTTGCCGCGTCCAGACATGGTAGAAAACTGGCTGTCACAAGCTGCTCAGTCAGTAACCAGAAAGCCACACTGGCGCTATTTATACTCGACGCAGGGCGCGAAAACGAATCGATTTCATTGGTTACATATAGAAGTTTCACCTAAACCAATGGCATCGTGGTTTCGAAAATCCCTTGCTTTGATTGGACAGTTAGTGAATGACGTTTGCTATTCGCGATCAGCACAGCCATAAGTCTGTTTAAAAACCAGCCAGTGCAGACTTCGTTCTGACTCTTACTTGCTTTTTACTTTCTTTGTTTCTCTCTTGTTCATCGTTATGCCTGATCCCGCGAAGTCCGCCCCCGCCCCGAAGAAGGGCTCCAAGAAGGCCGTGACCAAGGCCCAGAAGAAGGACGGCAAGAAGCGCAAGCGCAGCCGCAAGGAGAGCTACTCGGTGTACGTGTACAAGGTGCTGAAGCAGGTGCACCCCGACACGGGCATCTCGTCCAAGGCCATGGGCATCATGAACTCGTTCGTCAACGACATCTTCGAGCGCATCGCGGGCGAGGCGTCGCGCCTGGCGCATTACAACAAGCGCTCGACCATCACGTCCCGGGAGATCCAGACGGCCGTGCGCCTGCTGCTGCCCGGGGAGCTGGCCAAGCACGCCGTGTCCGAGGGCACCAAGGCCGTCACCAAGTACACCAGCTCCAAGTGAGCGGCGGACCTCACCGAAACCCAAAGGCTCTTTTCAGAGCCACCCACGGTTTCAGAACAGAGCTTGTTTCCTCCCACAAGCGAAATGATTGTCAACTGTAACTGTCCTTGTTTAGGCCTGGGAACGCAGGAGCTGCTTTTTGCCTGTGCCTCCTGAGTACTGGTGTTAAAGGTGTTGCACCCACCACCGGCACTAACATTACTTTTATCTTGGTATTCCAGAGTCCACAAAGTCTGATGGAGACTTACCTTGTCGGTGAGTGTTGTGATGCAGTATTTTAAATCCCCTTCTTAACTGCTGAAGCTGTTATAATAGGTTCTGTTCCATAAGTCACCTCAGTTTTCCTATTACAGCTAGGGGTATGGCCATAGGTCTGAAAGTCTCAAATCATGTGTTAGAGCCCAGGACTCTGCATCTTAAAAGATAGTGATGCTTGCTGAAGACCTAGAGATGTAGTCAGAAGCAGCTTAACCTGATTGAGTTCTATTTTCTCGGTTTTGTTTGGATTGAGTGTTTTGTTTTGACAACAGATTTAACCATTTACCTGTCTGTTCTTGAACTAACTGGATCTCACTGCCTCAACATCATGAGTACTGGAATTACAGGCTTATACAATCAGGCTTGGTCTTACAAGTCTCCAGCTAAGCACTCAGGAAAATAGAAAAACTTATTATTTTCCTTTAAGAATTCTTAAGTGGTTTGTTACTTTCATAATTGTTTTCTGTTTCACCTTCATTGTCTGCTTATTACTTGACTGTAAGCATGTGTGTGTGTGTGTGGTTGTGTATATAAATATATACTTAGATCTATATTCTGGTGTGATGGTTGAAAATAGATTGTGGAAGAAGAAAAAACTAAAGAGGGTCTTAATGTGATTTAGTTTGCAATTGTGTTTGAGTTTTTCAGGGCATAAAATACTAGATAAAGATTAATTCAAACATTTGGGAAAAAACTCATTTCTGTAGTCCTTTAGGCTAGTAAATGCAAATACGGTGTTGATTTAAGTATGAATATGAACAGCTTAAAGGTAGTTGAATATCAATGAAATGCTAGTACACCACAGCTGGAAGAATTGTTAGCTGTTGTACAACTAGTGAGATCTTAATAAAAGCCTAACCATTTTCCCTAATCATCTCCATTAATCTCTATAGTATCCTGTGGAGCAAATTCTATTGTCTCCTTTCTTTAAAGTTGAGGAAATTAAAATGATCCAACTGAAGCTGCAGTCTAAATCCAGTCTTGTCTGAGGTGAGATCGAACTGTGAAATACCCTCCAAAATATCCTGCAAAGGGACTACTTACTACATTATAAAAATGAATGTTTTAAATTATCCCAGAATGTAATACAGACTCTTAATTTGTTTCTTCATTTGGGTTTGGGTTTTCTGGGAATGGTTGTTTGGTTTTGGTTTTGAATTTTGTGTACGTGTGTGAGAGAGAGAGGGGTCTTGCTCTGTAGCAAGGCTGAAGGAGAAATCCTCCTTCCTCATCTGGTCATGTCCATCAGCTACAGTTTGGAGTTAGAAGAATTTCCGAATGAATTCCTGAGGAGGGTAAACGTTCCTTCTCTACTTCTGACTGTTCCATGAGTAAGTAGATAATGGTAACCAGATAAACCAAAGAAAAGTGTGTACATGTATTACATGAAAGAAAAATGACTACTCTGAACTTCAGAGATCCTGAAGTTCATATTCCTTCTTAGGGGAGGAGGGAGATGAACTAGTGGGAAGTAAGTGATCTGGGGATTGTCCTGGGGACAACCACTTGCAACAAGTCTATTTGAGCAGGACGTTGACCTTCAAGTCTCTGCTGACACAGTCTCTACTTGACATGTTTCTGGAAGACAGTCGTATTGCAGTCAGGTCTGGACATTTGTCTTTGGTCATTTAAGGGAAATTCAAACCAAGTCCCTCCCTGAATTTGCTGTTTCTCAAATGCCCTCAGTTTGCAATACAAAGGGCATAATTTGGGGTAGCGTTAAGCAAATTCCTGTACCTCATATATGTATATAAAATGACAAATACTTCCATTTGGACACATACTGTTAGTCTCAGGGGCCCCTTGAAAAGAAACACACCTCACTCTCCCTCTGCACTCATAGCATAAGAAGTTCCCTTAATATTTGAGAGTCCCAGCTCAGGTGCTCCCAGGTCCTTGGCTTTGACACAGAAAAGAATAATCTCTGTGTCACACAAAGGAACGAACATGAAGCCAAAGGGAACACATCTCTTTAAGGCGATTTTTTTTAAATTTTTTATTTTTTGAAAGAGTTCACCAGGCAGTGCTAGAGGATTGAATCCTACCATTTGGGAGGCAGGCAGATCTCTTAAGAGTGTGAGCTGCTGTAGTCTCCATAAAGAGCTCCAGGCCAGCAAGTGCTATAGTTAATGAGCCTTCCATGTCTGAGAGAGAGAGGAGAGATGGGGAAGAGAGAGGAGAGGAGAGAGAGCAGGCGGGCCAGACCTGGGCTGACTAACACAAAGGTACGGGAAGCTCACTTGGTTGTTATTTTAACAGGTGGTAAGTGTCTTCTGCCCTGGCTGGGATCCTACCTCACAGTCCTTGAGATCGGCTAGTTTAAAGGGAATTGGTGCAAAGGAACAGAAAGATGGGCGAGCCTTCTTGCTCCAAACCATCAAGTTCTGAGTATATTGTGTAAACAAAGAGAATTTTTTTCCTGATAAGAGAGATTAAAAGATTTGTATAAAGTTTTATAAGGTAGGAGACATTAAAGGAGGAGGACATTTAGTGGACTGGAGGTCCTTGGTAAGCTAGTTACTTTTGATAGAAAAAAAAAATTTTTTTTTTCAAAACTGTAAGCCACCATTGAATACGATGAGGGTTATTAGAAGAAAAAAAAAAACCTCCTTAAACTGGGCGGTGGTGGCGCACGCCTTTAATCCCAGCACTCAGGAGGCAGAGGCAGGCAGAGCTCTGTGAGTTCGAGGCCAGCCTGGGCTACAGAGCGATCCAGGACAGTCAGGGCTGCACAGAGAAGCCCTGTCTCTTTCTTCTTTTTTCTTTGCAGTAGTGGTAGTAGGACTAAGAAAACAGGAGCTTGGAAAAATAAGAAAACGCCCCAAATGCGTGGGTGTGGACTTCCGCCTGAGAGCTGTGCATCTTTTTGTGTCTCTCAGCATTTCCCTGGTAATGTTGAAGTTAACACACATGACTTAAATTCTAATCTTAACTGCTGATATTAACTCTCAGATAACATATAAAACAATAAATATAGCTATATGTGTTGAAGTTAGGCTATGTCCTACTTTAAGTTACTTTGTGAGAGCCAAAGTTACATTTGTAAGCTTTAATTACTGTACCTTAAGGTACCCATGAAACAAAAATGTCTCTGATCTGCAAGCCCCTTGTCCAAGGACAGATAGTTCCTGAAATGCTGGAGGCTGTTGTTTATGAGAGATTACAAGCCACATGTTTTTCACTCCCCTAAACACGTTTGTTTGACCCATCTGCACCGGATGTGCTTGATCACATGTGGGTGGGAGGTATATAGGCAGGAAATACTTCTGATTGGATGTAGGTTGGAGGTATGACAGGAAATATACTTGGCTCTGATTAGACCAGATGAGAAATACTTAAGTCACTGTACACCCTGATACAGGGGCCATTTTCTGGAAACCCAGAGATAGACTTTGCCAGAGGCCATCTACCTGGCTAGTATTTAATTAAAGTTTACTTCAAATTTAGTTTTAAACTGTGGTAGTGGTCTTATTCTCCATCTGTGGGATTAACAACTTCGTAATGTATAAAATAGTGTTCTTTCAAGTTGTGCCTTACCACAGTAAACTTCACTTTACAATCAGCTTTGGACTCCATTTGGAGAGAAAAAGATGATGCAGACCCTGGGTAGACCCAGAAACAACACCATTTGGCAGGCCCTGGGCATCCAGCACAGATTGAACGATGACTTACACCTGGAAACAGAAAGGGAGCCACACTATAGATTTCATGGGGAAAAAATGGAAACAATGGAGGCACAGGGGTGTATTAAAATCATGCCTAAAAAAACCATGCTCAAGAGCTCAACGCATGGATGAAGAAATGGTTTAACTCCCTTGCCTGGATACCATAGAGCGATGCAGACCTGACACTGAGAGGACATGGCCCCGCATGCACCCATCATCTAATGCCTCTGAGATTCTGCTCAGTGCCCCAGTGTTGAGGGAGATAACTCAACGTGGTCGACTTGTTCACTACTCTGGACCTGAACCTGGCACTGTTTCCTGCTCCTGACCTGGTTCAGACCTGGTTCAGTCTGTCACTTCAAAGCCTAATTCTGCAGCTTTGCCCTCAAACCTGACTCCAGCAGCTCCCTCC